TGCACTCCAGCCTGGGTAACATGAGTGAAACTCCGTCTCAAAAAAAAAAATTAAAAAAAAAAAAAATGACAAAACCCCATCTGTACTAAAAACACAAAAGTTAGCTGAGTGTGGTGGCAGGTGATTGTAATCCCAGCTACTCAAGAAGCTCAAGTAGGAGAATCTCTTGAATGGGAGGCAGAGGTTGCAGTGAGCCGAGATCGCGCCATTGCACTCCAGCCTGGGTGACAGAACGAGGCTCCGTCTCAAAAAAAAAAAAAAGATGGAGGTGTGGGTGGCAGAGGTTCAAAATCAAATAAGACCAGCAATGAGGTGGAGGTTCAGGAGCTGAGGCCTTCTGCAAGGACAGCACTGATGCAGACGGGCTCCCCATGGCCTTCCCCACACTGGAGGGACCTACACTGGAAGCTGTAAGGCAGCCCCCTCAGCGGGTCCCACCACGGAGTCCAAAATTCAGACAGGACACCAGGGCGTCCAGGCACCTCTGCTGCATGCTGGACTTGCATAGCTGGATCTCTGAGAAAGTATGGTGAGGAAAACCAAACCGTCAGCCCTAGGGAAGGGCAGCCCTGAGCTGGGCTCCCCTCTGGTGGAAGAGCAGCTTCAACCGGGGCGCAGAAGCAGAATGGGCGTTGCATGGCGGAGAGGCTGGGGAGTTAGGGTCTTTTACCCCCTGGTGGCAGCCACCTGGAAGACCTACTGCTGGCCCCTGGGCAACCTCCCTGGAGCAGGCCAGACAGAGAGGACCTACAAGCTGGGCTCGCTGACATCCTCTTGCCGTGAAGAGGGATCTGACCAGGGTGGCTTGGACTCTTGGGTTTCTGAATCAGCCCTGAACTGCCACCAGCAGTAAGATGACCCCATTTCAGGGCCAGGGTGGCCCCGTTGGCCCCACCCAGAGTGTGCAGGCCTCCTGGCCTCCCCACCAGCATGATGGCTGCCCCAGGGCTATGGCAGGGCTTGCCTCCTCCCTGACCCAGGCAGCACCCCCACCGTTCTGATTGAACAGCGTGAAGGTGAATTATGTCCCACGAGGGGAAGGCCCAGAGAGCCACGGACAGAGAGAGGAAGGAGATCTGAAGAAAGCTCAAAAGCAAAAGACAGAGGTGGCTAAGGCCAACACGGGGTGAAGAACAGAGAGGGAACCCCTGGGACCTCTGCTGCCCCTCTTTCTCTTCTCTTCTAAGAAAGGTGGCTGAAAAAGGTCTCGCCAGATCCAGGCAACTTGAATAAACCCACTCAGGAAACCCGAATCTTTCCCGTTGGCGGAGCGTGGTGGCTCACACCTGTAATCCCAGCACTTTGGGAGGCTGAGGTGGGAGGATCATTTGAGCCCAGGAGGTCGATACTGCGGTGAGCCAAGAGCGTGCCACTGCACTCCAGCCTCAGCAACAGAGCGAGACCCTGTCTCAAAATAATTTTTTTAAAACCATATCTTTTCTGTAGCTGTTATTAAAAAGAAAAGAAAAAGACCAGGTATAGTGGCTCATGCCTGTAATCCCAGCACTTTAGGAGGCCAAGGTGGGCAGATCACCTGAGGTCAGGAGTTCAAGACCAGCCTGGCCAACATGGTGAAACTCATCTCTACTAAAAAATACAAAACTTAGCTGAGCCTGGTGGAGTAAGCCTGTAATCCCAGCTACCCTGGAGGTTGAGGCAGGAGAATTGCTTGAACCCAGGAGGCAGAGGTTGCGGTGAGCTGAGATCACACCACTGTGCTCCAGCCTGGGTGACAGAG